AGAGTGTGGAGCCTCTTTTGTTTTCCACTGCTCCTCCTGTCTGGTGGCTTCTCCCTTCTCCTCCTGTCTGACATTCCCTCTTCTTCTGTGCACTTTCAACTTCTTCTTCTTTTTTTAAAACCAATTTGTTAGACTTTTCTCCCTCCGCCTACCCCTCCTCCTCTTGTCCAAACAGAACTATTCCCGCTGTTATCGGACATGTGCGCTATGGCCGTCCCTGGATTGAGGCACCTTTTACTCCTCTGGCTTCCTCATTGTGTTTTCGTTTTCTCGTGCAGTGTTTTGAGAGCTGCCTTTTGACTGACAGCAGAAAAAAGTCTTTGACACTGTTGAAACATTCTCACACTTGTTTCCAATCCTCCATCCTTCTTTCAGTCTTTCTCCATCACACTCTGCTTCTTCTCACACCATGTAAGTCACTATTTAACCATCTTTCGTGAACTCTGCATGACCCCTTTAAAGACACCAGGATCCATTGTTGTGATGATGTCACCTCACCTTTACCTAACCTGAATCTTACCCCTAGTTTGCCCCTCAGCGCACAAACAAACAGCTTTCTCTCTGCAATTAAGGCCCAGCGTATCAGCATATTAAGCACTGCCTTTGCATTTGTGTGTGTTAGTGAGTGTGTGTGCTCCCTATTTGCTCTTCAGGCCTTTGCTAGTCTGCGGACTTTGGCCATTTCTTATCACAGGGAGAGGTTGTGGGATCCCTAAGTCCTCACTCCTAAAAATACACTCGCCAACGCTAACATACACACATAAACATGCACACACACTCTGGGTATATGGGGCTCCCTTTTATAAAGCTGTCATTCAGAAACCCAGACAATATGATTGGTCAGTGGCATGTTGCACAATGCTCACCTGATTAAAACAAGTCCCTCACAGAACTCCCTTTTTTTCAATATTTTTATAGCTACCAGCAACACCCAGGAATGGAATTTCAAATATTAGCATACAAGCATCAAAGAAATATTTTGCAAGTGAGTTGGTTAAGTAGCTTTCCAAACAGTGGAGGCTATCAGAACAAAAGACGTTTTGATAATTCAATTCTTATCATCTGCAATTGAGAGTTTTGTGATGTGTTTGCGCTGCTATTCAAACACTGTGAACCAAGAGTTTAATTTAGCACTTGAGCACGTCACCTATGAGAACCTGCAACTGAGGAGTTAATAATTTATTCAAAAACAAAAAACACACACCCTCCTGGTTAATAGTAAGTGTGTGTGTGTGAGGATCTGTGTTGCTGAAGCCCAGGTGTCTTGCTGAGCAGACTTGTGTCCCTCGCAGCGTGACCCCTTGACCTTACCTGGTAAAACACATCTAATCCACAAGCACAACATACAGATAACTTACCATAACACACAAATCCACACACTTAGGCACACATACACACCTGCAGGACCATAATCCTATAAGAATATAGTTCCTATTTATAGAAAAATGTATTCTGAAGAAATATTGAAATAGAGCTTAATCTAACTAAAAGACCCACTCACTTTTAACCAAAATATTATGACTAAGCTTGACCCCACAAAAGAATGTAGGATATTATTTTATCTGCATTTAGTAGACAATTGAAATCCGAAAATTAAAACCAAAAGGACTTTGAGACTCCTCAGACATGATCAGAGGTCTTTATGGGACAATTTGACAGACATAGAGCCAACATTGATTAGCACTGTTTCATCATTATCAGTATCATAAGAGTAGATCCATGTTGATCAACCTGATGAGATAAAACAACACTAACGGGTGACATCAGCAGAAGCAGACGAGAATTAATATGTTCTTCCTAATTTGCAAAACAGCATGCCATTGTGTGTGTGTGTGTGTGTGTGTGTGTGTGGTTGTGTGGTTGTGTGGTTGTGTGGTTGTGTGGTTGTGTGGTTGTGTGGTTGGTTGTGTGTGTGTGTGTGTGTGTGTGTGGTTGTGTGGTTGTGTGGTTGTGTGGTTGTGTGGTTGTGTGGTTGGTTGTGTGTGTGTGTGTGTGTGTGTGTGTGTGTGTGTGTGTGTGTGTGTGTGTGTGTGTGTGTGTGTGTGTGTGTGTGTGTGTGTGTGTGTGTGTGTGTGTGTCCTTGCTCCTATCAACAGGGTATTCTACCTCCTGGGTTTTCCTGCTTCTCCATTTGAAGTCCTCTTCCTGGAGCCAGGAGTCTACTAGTCAGAGTGTGTGTGTTTGTGTGTGTGTGTGAGCGTTTGTGTGTGCAAGGAAGAGGGGCCAAAGTAAGTCACCGACCCCAAATGATTGAATCTCAGCCTCAGCCAAGACGGTGACAGTTTTCCTGGTGCCTGGTTTGGAGACACAGACACACACACATTTTTTGGGGTGATTTCCCCAAATAGCTTATTTGGGAATCAACTGCCCACTAATCACCATATAGTAATGACTGAGGTGCTTTGATGGGTAAATTGAGATTAAAATTGACACCTATATCGTATATCAGATTACAAATTAACAAAAATGTGTTAACACACGCACACAAGCTTTCCTCAGTTACAGTCTGCTGCTGTCCGCCACATACCATCATCTCTATCTAGTCCCTCACCCAACACCTCCTCACACACACACACACACACACACACACACACACACACACACACACACACACACACACACACACACACACACACACACACACACACACACACACACACAGCTCTGGCCTCTGTCACTGTCAGTGATACAGCCTGGCATGTGCAAACACACAAATCAAAACACACACTGTACTGCAAAATAACAGAAAAAAGGATGATCTCTGTTTGATTTCTTTGTATTTTTGTAAACTTTTCACCCTATTTACATCCTTTAATAGCCTGTAGTGGTAGCCTTGCTGCTGAATCGGGACCTATCTTGCTCAATAATTTTCTTGTACAACACGCAAAACTAACACAAACACAGACTTGGCTTTTATACATTAACTGGAACCATAAAAGCATGAATCATTTCTGACTCTGCTGCCACTTTAAGCCCTCGCAGGCTCACAGGGGCCCACGCCTCGATATTATTAGCCACCAATTGGTGGTTCTGTTATCAGCATGCAGTTACACATTGATGACAGTTCCCCATTTCCATTGAGGCAATATTGCTCTATTTGCCTTGACTTCTTACAAGAGAGGGTGGGGGGCAGAAAATCAATACTGCTGTATATGGTTATAGGTTATTGTATAAGGTTCACGTACACATACAGATAGTGGGTGTTTTGGCCAATTAAAAGGGGAACTTCACAAGTTTGACCAATTAAAAGTCAATTTGAATTCAAATATATAATTCTCTGCTTCAGCTGCACTGAATTTGAGTCTCTAAACAGACTTCCTATGGTTTAACAATGTTGTAAAGTAAAATGCTAAATTGGTGCTCTTTTAAAAGGGCCTGCAGCTGTACAATAGACCCACACAGGTGTTTAATGTAATCAGATTACAGTTCAATTAGCACTGAGCTACCAGCTGCCCAAGTACAATATATTATATATCCCTGGGTCTTTTAATTTAAATGTAAAACCAATCTGTCTGTCTGTCTGTCTATCTATCTGTCTGTCTATCTATCTGTCTGTCTGTCTGTCTGTCTGCCTGCCTGCCTGCCTGTCTGTCTGTCTGTCTGTCTGTCTGTCTGTCTGTCTGCCTACCTACCTACCTACCTACCTACCTACCTACCTACCTACCTACCTACCTACCTACCTACCTACCTACCTACCTACCTACCTACCTACCTACCTACCTACAAAAAATGGCATAAGGTGGAAGAATGGAGAAGCAGGAAAACCCAGGTAGAATACCCTGTTGATAGGAGCGAGGACACACACACACACACACACACACACACACACACACACACACACACACACACACACACACACACACACACACACACACACACACACACACACACACACACACACACACACACACACACACACACACACACACAGGACTGTATTATAGTCTCATAACTCAATGAGAGACCGTCAGGGGAAGTGGCTGCACAATGAAATGGCCTCCTGTGTTTACGTCCACTGGTGTTGATGACAGGTATAAATATGTCCTCATGAAGACAACAGCCGCCGTAAACTTCCCACTAAAGGCGCTCAAGCATCCGGAACTATTTTTCATGTTTGTCATAATGAAGTACACAAAAAAGTAGACCTTGATGATGATTATTCGAAATGCATATGCCGTCTCAGCACACGTAAGCAAATAACGTGATAACTAAATGTCAGCACATGTTTGTGCTCTTTCATAAATGCATATTCATATAATACTTTTCTGCGGGATAACTTGATAACTGTGCCTGTGGGGCATGAACAGGCCAATATACGTGTCTTTATTTCAATTGGATAGAGAAACAATACGGTTTTTATGGCACGTTTATTGAGATAATTGTAATTGTAAATCGAACAAATTACTCGAAATTAACAATTATCAAAGACTGAGGTCGTATAATAGTCAAATTAAGGCATAAGGCCTATAGTACAATTTAACGAAATCATTTTAGTTCATTATAAATTAAAGTTGCTTTTCAACTTTCAAATTGTTTGACAGAAATAGAAACTGATCTTTTAAACGTTTGTAACAGCTAAAATGACACATTTAAATAAATGCAATTGGGATTCACAAACGAAAATAAAAGTTTTTTGTATTTAAAAGATTACCTAAATCCAGAAACAAGAACAAAAGGTTGAATCGAATTGAGGACATAATTAGATAATAACAATAGATGTAAAGGCAATAATCTTCAGCTATCTATAATAAAACCTTATTTGGATGGTAATTGTTATTATGTCAAATCAGCCTATCAGGTTTACGTTTCATGAGAGAGAGAGAGAGAGAGAGAGAGAGAGAGAGAGAGAGAGAGAGAGAGAGAGAGAGAGAGAGAGAGAGAGAGAGAGAGAGAGAGAGAGAGAGAGAGAGAGAGAGAGAGAGAGGAGGGAGAGAACAGCTGGATCTTGATCACAAGTAGTCTTCTCTCACTCCTCTTCCACATGTCTCCTCTCTCAGGTTATTCCTAATTCTCTCAATGTTGCGATCGATTTGTTTCACATTTTAGCAGCATATCTGATTTTAATAAGGACGTGACCACATCACATTAATACCAGCACTGAGCAAAAGTGCATCCACAATATCATTATCCCTTCTATCAACACGGATGTCCAGCTTCAAGGAGAGGATATGTATCAGGGCATAATGACCACCAACCACGGACCCCCTTCTTATGAAGCCGGATTTCTACACAACGCCTCGGCAGGCACCTCCCCGGTTTATGTGCCCACCACCAGGGTCGTCACCCCCATGATCCCGGCGCTTCCTTACCTGCAGACGCCCGGTGCGTCGCAGCAGAGCGGCCCCGTGTCGAGCCACTCTGCCTGGGCACAACCGTGCGCAGACTCGGTGTCCTCGTACAACCACTCCCCGGTGTCTCACTCTCCGCGCTTCGCCTTCTCCACCAGCCCGCCTATGTCCTCCGGGGTGGCCACGGCCCGGGACACAGCTGTCTCTTACGGCAGCCCCCTAAACATCTCTGCCAACGGGAGGGAGCACTATGGCGCCCGGGGTCTCAGCGGGTCGTATCACAGCCCGTACCCGGCTTACATGAGCCCGAACGTGGGTGGAACGTGGCCGGCGTCCCCCTTTGATAGCTCGGTCATCCACGGTCTCCAAACCGGCGCTCCTCATTGCACAACACGGCACCCAAACATAGGTAAGCTACAGGAAAATATATGTAAAATTGAAATATTTTGTTTAACTGTAAAGCTGTATATTTTTTTCCAGTAAATGGTGTTTTTATTTATTTAAATTGTGTCACACAGAAAGGTCAATCATGTTAAATGATAAACTTCATTGCATGCAGGGAGACAAACAAGTGCAGATTATTAAAAGAAAGTAGCATATCTTTATATCTCTATTATTTTGTAGGCCTATTTGTTAACGATTGAAGAAGTTAAACAACATGAACGAGGTTAAAGGTCGCAAGGCCTGATTGAAAAATCAATGTACTTTTTTAAAATAGAGATCAACACGATTTTATAAAACAATACTAACAATATAAATATTTACACGCCATAAAACTATATATATTATTCATGTTTCGTTTGCATGTGGCACAAATAATCTCTCAATCATGACCCATCAAGATTAAGGCATTATAATTTACAGGAACACCCGATTGCATGACTAATATTATTACAATAAAAGAAGATTATATTTTCCAAATATTCTGGTATACAAAAAGGAAATATGTCTTGAAATTAGGAGATACATTTAAATTGAAGAGCTTTTTGGTTTTTTAAAGATCTGATTACGAGAGACGGTTTTTGTTCATCGCATTTCTGCAGAACGAGCGTTTGTAAAAAAACTTCTAATTTAAATAAAGGAAGAAAGGTTTTGTTTTAAATTATTATATTCTATTAAAAACCAAATGAAAAAGTAAACTAATTTAAAAAAGTTATAGACTGCCACGTGAGATCAACAAAAATACCGCAGAATAATTTAAGGCTGTTTATCACCTTCAAATCGTGTCTGCTTGTTTCTTTAAGTAACACGATTTCTATTTTATCAATGTATTTCCATGACAGTTATTATGATATGGAAAGAACCATTTTCTTTCATTTTTAATTACGCTGTGTTAAGCAATTTCCATTTTTGATAATGACGTTTGAGACTGCTTCGCTCTATCGTTGTATTATGTATAACCTTGTTATTATATGTACTTACTAAATACACATTAGTTATTCAATAAACCTCGAATTTACATTTAACATCTTAAAATAGTAAATTAAGTCAAAACAAATGTATTGGGTGAAATGCATAGATTCTTTAATTTGACAATAAAAGGGGTTATTAAGTTTAGCCTATTTTATTTATGAGCCATTTTAAACCAAATGTTAACGTTAACTTCACTGTTTAATAAAACAACACAAAAGGCCAAATTGAGCAGTCTGTAATGACAATTAATTACCGATTGGTTCACTTACTCAGGTTGACTTTTTGGCACAGAAAATGTCACAAAATAACATATTTATTTATGCAAATATCTTTGTTTATTTTCAAGGATCAAATTGCATTGAATGACTATATCCTATTACATTTAGCTGATGCTTTTGTCCAAATTGACTTAAGTGCAATCAAACATGAGAAATCAGATCCAGAATAGAAGGGAAGCTGCAATGCTTTAGCCAAACCATTTGTTATTGCTGGTGAATTGGAGTTATAGAAATAATACATTTGAAGTGATATCAATTAATATTTAACTGAACCTGAGTTGATTACACATTTAAAGTTTACGAGTTGTGTTTGGCCTCATAATGAGGTCAGATTTGATTTGAAGATATCTGATCTTGGTCAAGACTGAAATAATTAATTATTTTTGTGAAGTAACAGTGAATTTTTCTTTTAAAAAGCCTTCATGTAAATATTAACTGCTATCTTTTTGTCTGTGTTGGATGTGAATTTGGCCTTTAGTTGGAGGTTGAACTCTGGACTATATCGCAACACATTGATTTAGCTTAGGTTGACAGTTTTTCGATGACTTGCACCTTGTGTAGTCTCGGTGAATAATCATAATTTTGTTTATTTTACCTTCCATTATCTAGATTTTAATCAGAGTGATGGGCAATATTGGACAATATTTAATGTATTCATTCATTCATTTCATTATCATGTAATTTACACCGTGATCTGATGGGCTTGATCATAATTAGTCATATCAGATAGTATAGTATTTGTATCATATTAACAGAAGATGAATGGCTTATAACTTCTCTGATTGCTCTTAAAATGCTTTGTGTGATTATGATTTACATGGCCTAACACACGAGGTAATCTAATTTCAATGAAGAAAGACAAAGGTGAGCTGTTCAACAGGGTAACAGATAAAAACATTGATCCACATTGACCTCTTCATCTGATTATAATCACACTTAACTCACAGATCAGTGTGTTTACTCATTGCTGTTCTTTATAGATGTGTCAGAAACCAGCTGCACATCACATCACATCAAATTAAATCAAACCTCAGTGCTTGATGAGCCGTGTAAAGAAAGTTTCTATTGCTCTTTTGATGAAGGGGAAACTCCCTCAGCTGTGAAGTGGCGCTTTTCAAATTCAAATCACAAAAATAAGTCATAGTGAGAGTTAGTTTAATGATCATTGAGCAATGATGTAGCCTTACTGAAAAACCTAAATTCCTTAAAACATCTGTGAAAATATATTGGGGATTATTTAAAAGTCACTTTAATCACTGATTTATTATTCCAGAGAAACATCTATGACTTTAATGGATCGCATTTTACATTCTTCCTTTATATAATCATTATTTTTTCTTGAGTTTGATTACTTTAATAGAATAATTATATTATGTTAACAACTATACTATGTCTCTGACAACAATATAAGCCTTTGTTATGAAATGGTATGAATACACATGAACATTTAGTTTATAAAACAATACATTTGTAATATTGCCTGGAACATAAAATACTTTTTTAATTATATGTTTTGCATGTTGTCTTTATATCCAATGTCAATAGTGTCAACAGACGGCAGATTGGGTAAAAAGTTCCAATCCAAGAACTTTTTTCCGTAGACATGGATTAAAATAACAGTGAATACTGTATACTATTGAATTAAAATCATCTAAAAACGAACAATATGTGCAGAAAAAAAAGTACAATTATTGAGTTTTAAATGGTTGTCAAGTATGTTTTCAAATTGCTATCTTTAAAAATACAGAAGGACAAAGAAAGGCAAATTATCTTGTAAATTAGAAGTACCACAGACAGACCTTAGATAAAGCAAACCCCTTGTGACTTTTAACAGTGTTTTATACAGTTCCCACTGTTCACTGTTTATTAAAATAATCAATGTATAATCTGTTCGGAGCAGTTGGTCTATGTGTCCCGGTTGTTTCCACCTTTGTCCCCTTAAAGCCTCAGGGCCCCCTGATAAAGACACACACTGACTTTTTCACAGCGGAAAAAAAAACCTCCATTTAGACCTGGACACTGCAGTGTTTCTTTTGAGTTTTTGTCTTGTGTTGGCTACAATTTCTGCCTGGCTCAAGGTTAGCTTGCCCTGCTTTCTCTGTTTTGCTCTCAGCCTTGGAGGAGGCCTGCATTTGTATCAGCTGCACTCTGCAGCGAGGGAGGAGCAGACGGGGGCCAGATTTATGCTATCTCAAGACAAATAATTATGCACAGGGGAAAGTACAGTTGCAAACAACAATAACATCCAACTTAAATGTGGCTGTTTTGCACATTTCCTCAATCTATTCTTAGCATAACCTCACATATTCTAACCTGTTCTGTCACTTTCACATATCAGATGGATATGTTCTTTCCCTGAATACCTAAGTGGTTCTTTAGACTCTATGACAGATTTATGAGATGTCATGTTAACTGAGAGAGATGTGTTAGACACAGAGTCTCTATTTGAATATGATGGAGCTCTATTGCGTGTCTATTTCCAGCCGACTCTTTATCTCAAGGGGAGCTATGAGATAAGGAGAGATTCCAGGCTGCTGTTGTGTGGGCCTGAAACACTGCGGCCTACACCTCCTGCTGGTATAGAGAGGCCCCTGCATTTGATCATCAGGGTTTACAGTGGAGTAAAGTGTTCATTAAGATAGCTGGAAAAAAGTTTGTGTGGAATAAACTCAGCTGGAAATTAATTTATCAAAATCAGCTCTGTTTTGTACATGAGATGGATATGTGCTACCTCATAAGGAGAATTGATAATAAATGTTTCTTTGCAATAGTTCATAATGGTAGAAGACACACTTACTGTAATATCTCTCATAACTAAATTGGTAAAACAAATGTGTAACACATCAACTATTCTGAAAAGCAGCCATTGTTTCAACCTAACCTAACCAGGATGCTTTTTTATTTTATTCAGTACAGTTTGATGGTTTAAAACTTTGTTCTAGCTCATATTAAATCATGTTTCTCTGGACGTGGAAAGTACCCATAAGTTGACAGAAGCAAATCACAGTTAGAGCCAGATCAGGTTTACGGGGAAAGAAAAAAAATATATATTTTGGCTTATCATATTTCTCTCTTGTCATCCTCCATCAGACCTGTTTGATGACTTTGCTGAGGGGCGAGAGTGTGTGAACTGCGGGGCGATGTCGACCCCCCTCTGGAGGCGGGATGGTACCGGCCACTACCTGTGCAATGCATGCGGACTGTACCATAAGATGAACGGCATCAACAGACCTCTCATCAAACCTCAAAGACGGCTGGTGGGTGACAGAGCAGCACTTTAGTATTCTGTACCAAACAGTGAAGCAATACATGGATGGATACATTCAAGTGTTCACTCTGGGAAAATAAATGTATTGTCTTTTTCTCCTGACATATTTTCAGTCTGCCTCGAGGAGGGTGGGCCTGTCCTGCACCAACTGTCACACCACCACCACCACACTGTGGCGACGAAACGCAGAGGGAGAGCCGGTCTGCAACGCCTGTGGCCTCTACATGAAACTCCATGGGGTGAGAGAGGGAAGAGGGGGAAGAAGTGCATCTCAAAAACTGCTGATATCATATATATAAATAGTTAAAACCCTTTTGATCTTGAATTTAAAACTGGCATTTTTAAATGAATCTAAAATCCATCATTAAAGGTATTCAAAAATATGAAAATTCACAGATTTTTTGGAAAGCATATCTTCAGAAATTAGAGTAGAAATGTCCAAGATGTTAAGAACAAGAGACGGTTTTCTGACCCGTCTTTATCTCGTTGCGCCTCAATGGCAGCAGTGGCTCAGTCTGTAGGGACTTGCCCCTGGGACCGAAGGGACACTGGTTCAAGTCCCGATCAACCGACTGGTAGCTAGAGAGGTGCCAGTTCACCTCCTGGGCCCTGCCGTGGTGCCCTTGAGCAAGGCACCAAACCTCAAAACTGCTCCCCGGTGCTGGCTAGACTGGCAGCCTCTTTGCTCTGGCCCTCTCCAGATGCATGTGCATGTGTTCTGTATAGTGTGTATTAATTACTTGTGCATGTGTGCACCTACCGGTATACTGTGTGTGTATTAAACAAAAATACAAGCCAGAGTGAAAAACTGAATTTCTTAATAAAGGTTCATCTTCAATGTATTAACCTTTATTCTACACCATCCTCCAAGATTGTTCCACTACTCTTATTTCAGTCTGCTGTTGTTGACTAATGGTTATTCCTTTGTCTTGGTGTCCTGACAGGTAGCAAGACCCCTGGCTATGAAGAAAGAGGGGATCCAGACCCGCAAACGCAAACCCAAGAGCCTCAACAAGCCCCAAACTGGTGCGCTTCAAAACCACATGCTTACATTTGTGCAGACATGGTGATAGCTGTTACAATGGCAGGAGCTCAAGACTTAGGCCCATTTACATGCTCATACTGTCTGTGAATGTGTCATGACGTTAGTTCTGGTGCTCCACAGGGACCCCAGGCAGCGAGGGGTCTCCCATCACGACCAGCAGCACTCCCCGGGCCTCCAGCACCACTGAGGAGCCTCGGCAGATAAAGACGGAGCCGGAAACCCACAGCTTGTACTCACACCACGGCTCACACGCACAGGTAAGACACAGTTTAAACAAATCTCAGAGAATATTAAGATCCAATAGTTGTTAGAGTTGGTGGTTGTGATGAAAAAGAGGCTAATCAGATTAAATAACTGTTCAACAAACCGGGATCGTATCACCTAAAGGCCAAGGTCTAATACGGCCTATAAGGAACAGAGTCAAACCAATGTTTAGAAACACATCAACCCAGATTCTACAGCATTGGCATTTTTTTGTATGTTTTAAAACGTTTTTCTCCCCCATGATTAAAAAAAGGTCAAAGTCTCTGACAGACTGCCAACATAAGAAATCTGACAGGCCTTCTCACCATTTCCTTCTGTATCCCTCTAGATCTCAGCCCTGCCAGCCTACATGACAGCTCAAAGTGGGGCCATTCCTCTCAAGATGTCCCCTGGGGGCCACGGTGGGTCTTCTGGCTCCAAAGCTGAGCCCTGGAACAACCTAATCCTGGCCTAGAAGACCCACAACCTGGCACGCATCTCAAACCAACCTATCTATAGCGATTCAACTCTTCTGAGGGATCAGAGCGCTCTGTATGCAGATGTTTGTGCAGCCGACACACCGCACAAGTCTCTGGGACAAACATGTGGGCGCCACAAAAGAAATGGAGATCTTAAACAGAACTGCTCAGATACTGTATGTTTACTCACAGCAATCGAGGGACTGATTGGAGTTTTTGTTAAAGAGCAGCGCCGCGATCAGACACACAAAACTCTTGAACTCTAAGAACTGTAACATGTACATGCTTCTCTACCCTCCCAGTGAAGTTGCTTTAAATGATAGATACTGTAACATAATCCAATAACAAATAACAGTAATGGCCAGACTTGATCTCATCGAGGTATTTTTATTTCAATACTTTCTTTTCATTTTCATGTTATTATGGACAATTTGCCTTAAAACGAAGGACATACACAACATGTAAAGAATAACAGAAGGTAGCACCATGGAGGAGATGTGTAATAAAGGGTCAGTTCACAATAAAAAAAAAAAAAACGAAACTATACATTTTTTCTGAAATGCCACAACAATACAATCCAGTTAAATTAAGAATACATTTCAAAACCTCAAAAATCTCTTCACAGAGCAAACAATGTTCAGGTTACTTAATAATCCTCATTGATTACACAGATTTAAATGTGATACCAATATTTGTAATGCACATGCATAATTTCACAGTGCATTTAAATCTACAAAGAAAAGCTATTCTGTAGCATTAAACCTACTGTAACTTTAAGAGAATTGCTCAAGATATCCATCACTCCCCACCAGAGAAAGGATTTGATTAGGCCAGTGCAATAGAAGAAGCTCCCTGGTTGCTTCTCGTTTCTCGATCAGTTGCCTGAACTGTGTGCCTTTTGATTTAAAGTGTAAAAAACACATGTCAGTATTGACACCGCTGTGAAAGAATACATGAGAAACTACCTATTGCTATGTTGCACGTTCTGAATATGGCACATAGCTCCCTCTGCTGACACAAGAGCAGATGTGCATCCGTAAGAAACTAATACCTGAGGGCCTTAAAAAAAGAAAATATCTGGTAGATAGTATTTATTATTAAAGGCACAACCCCAAACCTAACAATCATTTAATTATCATGTGTTAGCTGAAGGTTGTTTGATTTTGTGACGGCTTATTGTATCAAGAATGTACAGATTATTATAAATACTCAATGCTTTAATTTGCTTGCATTCTGACAAGCATGGGGGGGTAACGTGTAAATGTGGGATATCATCACATGTAATTACCAACAAATATATGAGCATATATGTGAAAACTCCACTCCAGTATAATTGTAATACACCATTTGTGATATATTGTAAGTAAAGACACAATGAGAGACGGACATGTGTGCACTAACACTCTGATGCCCTTCTCTGTGTGCAACTGTAGCTCTACTGAGAAAACTAATAAAGACCAAGCATTTTGACATAAAACCAATGGTTTGTATGATGTAATCGTTTTGGGTAATTCATTCTACTGAAAAAAACATACTTGACATGTAGCCTAGTGACTTCCTCTTCATCTTGGCGAAGTGTAGTCATCGGGGAACTTGTGAAGCTTCTTCTGGAAACTGTATCCTCCCAATTTCTAAGTATTCTTTTGTGAAGCTTACAATATCTTTGATAAAAAGATGTACAGTGCATTGATTGAAGTCCTCAGTCAGCTTCTCCCTGATGAACTCAGCATATTTGTCCTGCACCATCTCCTTCCAACACTGTTGAAATGTGAGCCTTATTTGACCCTGCGTGGCGTCAGACACCTGTGAGCCAAAAGCGTACTCAAATGCAAAAGCAGGTCCTTTTCTTAAATGTTCCTCCAAACTTTCTTTTTTGTCTGGGAGCAGAACTTGTGCAGCTTCGATCATTGTGTTTAGCTCCTGGATGTCTTTCTCCTCTTCTGGTTTGCCTTCAAAAATACTATGCATTCTTTTAGAGCTCTTCCAGTCCTGGTCCTGCACGGTGTTTATAAAAGCCAAATCTGCAGATCTCAGGAGGCGTTTCACAGCAGAAAACACATTTTCACACGCAGGATTAAGATCAGTCTCTTCAGCTGCTTTAACATAGCTCTCATAGTCCTCAGTCTGATCGATACAGTCCACTTGGCTGAAGTGAATATCCCTGAAGACATTTTCTTTATTTCCTTTGAAGCCCCAACATTTCACGTAACCAATACGAGTCTTCACTCCATACACAGTCCACCACTCCTTAGCTTTCTGAACCAAATTCAGCATGCACGCATCTGTATTTCTAGCCAAACAGGGGCTGTTCTTGGTGAAAACATACACCTTCCCGCCTTCTGAGACAGCCTCTGACTCCAGAAGTTCCTGGGTTTGTTTAATTATGATGTCCTCGCTGTGTTCTCCCTTGTTGTACTTTGGATAGAAAGGTCCGTACATGATAATCTCCTCCTGTTTCTCAATGACAGCCCATGAATGCTGCTTGTCCTCTGCACCACATTCCTCTGTGATGTCATGCTGAAACTCCAGAAATGTCTTGTTGATTGATTTGTCAAGTAAGACGTCATCAGTGGCTTGTTTGAACTTGAGATGCAACAACACTTTCTTTACAGAGGTTTGTGTGTCAGCCCAGGACAATATGTCACCCAAGAAGCTCTCAGTATCAGTCAGGTTTTTTGTCGCTCCATTCACACAGTCTTCAGGTGTGCAGAGGGGGCCACAGCTTGTCCTGTAACACATGATATCTCACTGTATGGCATAAAAGTCTGGGTGAATAACACCAACATTGTGATAACTGGGAACTGGGGCGTATTGTTTGTAAATACACACTAAAATGGACTACTATTGACACTAGAATTATTAATATTTAATCAGTTGTCTTATGATGAGAATTCTGTTGTTAAATTACGATTGTATTTACTTTTCTAACAAATAGTTTGACATTTGGGAAATACACTGATTTGCTTTCTTGCAGAGATTAAGACAAGAAGATAGAAAACCCTCATGCCTGTCCAATAAATATAAATCTACAGCAAGTTAGCTTAGCATAAAAACTACAAACAGGGGGAAGTGCCAACCTGGCCCTGTCTAAAAAGTAACAAAACCCACCTCTTTATTTTTAAAATGAACACATCATATTTTGTGGTCAATTGGAACAAATATTAAATTGAAGTGCTAATAAACAGATTTTGTTACCTTTGGACAGAGTCACAATAGTCGTTTCTACTGTTTCCAGTCTAAGCTAAGCTAACAGGCTGCAATATATAGATTATTGTTTGATGGACAATAATGATCATCTAACTCTGAATATATTGTTGAAATACTCTCTCCATGGTCATTAATAAACCATATTAAAAAAAGTTTCCTATTTCAATGAATAATCCAGCTCTACGATAAAGGAACATTTCACCATCTGAATACTGTCCGACTTGTGAATTGTAAATATGAAACAGATCTCTTTACATTTAATTAAAATGCTTTCAGAAGGATTGTGGTTAAGGTGTGGTGATTTAAATACAGTCGTGAAACATAATGAGACACATCAAATAAAGGGATGCGACATGTGGTAGGCCTATGTTGCCATAACAATGATGTGGCATACCAAGAGGAATTGAAAATGTCACCTGAAATACCCTTTGTCCTCAAACAACCCAGACGGATGAATAAACCTGTGATATTCCTGTTGCAACACCTCTCAAGAAAACACTTCTACGACCCAGATTACATTTATATATTCTGTCAGCACTTACTGTCTGTCATGCCTGTCTGTGCGTGTGTCAGCCTCATATCTGGCCAGAGTTTTGAGACATTTCTTTTTGCACATGGGAAGCTCCTGTGCATATCCATTACACAGAGGTCGTTTACGGCTAACTCTGAAACAGAAAACAGGAATATCATCATGGGATCAGATTACACTGTATGTACGGTGGCTGTTTTGAATAAAACAAATTCAGTTTGACTTCTATGGATAACAATAGTTTATGTCTTTGCTAAAAGATTACAAAAATGTAAGAGTTTTACAGTGTTTCAGCCGTTCCACCAATATAAAATGTCAAAGAGAAGTACAACTATCAAGATACAAGAACATGTCCGTTTCACCTCTCTTTTAGGTCATATTATGTGAAAGTGTACTCACATAGGAAGTTCCATCATCCGTCCAGGAGGTTTTCAGGTTAAATGAGTCTTCCTCTTTTCTCTTGTAGAGTCGTTCATTAAGTTGTCTCCTTATTACAAAGTAAAATGCTCTGACAAAGTGTCACCTCCGACAGGTGAACAGTTGCACTCCCAACATGTTTACTTAAACAACAGTTTAAGAGCTTTCAACAGTAAGCTCCTCCCTTTCCTCACCAGATATGATCCCTGCACATTGTTGATTTAATATTGCCAAGCTGTGTGTCATCAACTGTCTTGCGGCATCCTAAGACACTCTTTTTCAAGTTTAGCCAGTTCATAGAAGTGATAAATCAAAAATTATAACTGTAATCACATAAATAAAAAGAGTAGAAGCCGAACTGGATTGTATGAGATGCTTCTTGATCATTTATTTTGTATAGTTAATTCCTGGAAGCTGCCACAAGTGACACACATACTGGCTGGAGGCAGAATGAGTCCTTGGTTCACATGGTTGGAAAATTCCATGAACCTTAACGACCTGTGCAGTTGTGTGTATTATGAACATCTGACACAGTAGAAGAGCATCTCTTATGAAGCATTTTTTAAGTATTACATCATTTTACAGCTTATTCATTCATATATAGTCTGTAAAATAAATGAAACTTTATTTAGAACTTTTACTTTTTCCCTTTATTCTTTGTGTTTAAAAGAGTTGTGTTTTCTATCGCAAGAACTATCTCTTCAGGAGGGGGGCCTGATTGTTGAGGGCTTCGTGAGTTATGAGCAGGGGCCTAATTTATAAAGGGATATACGCTCAAAAAATGGCGAATGCCAGTTTCTACGCAATGTTTGCGATTTATAAAATACTAACTTGACGGAAAAATGTGCGGTCCTCCACGCAAACTCTAACCCATGCTACGCACTATAAGCACAACAACGGGAGAGACGAGAAACTGCGACACCGTTGGCAGAAGGAAGAATGGAGAGAAATATGTGGAAATAATACCATAAATAAAATGTTACCTCTCATTTATGAAGAATTCATTTTCAAACATTGATTAAAGCCAATCTTAAAATGATTAAACAAACGCCTGTTTGCGACTCCTCAGTGCACACAAAAACATAACTCGGAGAAATAAATAAATACGGATATGTTATTTAAAACCACCTCGAATATGTTGTGTTAATGTTATGAAATGTTTTCTCATAAATTATGCGGTAAGCAGAGGACAGAATTACGTCTAAACTGACGCCTTTTTGCTTTTCTATAGGTTGTAGATACGAGCATGGTTTTATATCCTATTACATTTAATCGTGTTTTATGCCGTTTGCCAAGACTTGATAAGTCGCTCGTAAAACACAGGAGGTATGGAAACTAAGAACACCATATGTGGTCAATTGTACAGCTAATATAACACAATACATTAGTTGTATTTCCTTTAACTGGTGGATTATGGATATATAGTTGCTGATCGACAGCTGGAACACAAACCACCAAATACAACAAAATAATTCAGATCCAGTCGTCATGACTCCGGAGGGATTCCCCGATCATTTCTTAGAGTTTCTCATCAAGGGGGTGTCTCCTGTCCCCGGTACAAACACACTGCCTGAGGAAGGTTATGTGTATTTTTTTTGTCATTAACCTTTTTCGGACCACTTATTTATTTATTTTGGTGACGATCCGACCTCCATGCTGCTACTCTGGTTCAAACTGCATCCACCAAACATTATGATTTATGTCGACCTTCCCAAAATAACCCAAATCTGACACGGTGTGAGATGTCTTTTTTAGCTGTTGGCCTCATTTCCTGCGATCTTCTTCATGCAGTCAGTCAAAATGAATGAATGAATGAATGGGCGTTTCTTTGACTATTTATAGGCAAATATGGGCGTTACGTGAAGCCTGCAAAAGCTGCGCCGCATTTAGAGTCGATTGTGATTTATAAAGGGAAACAGGCGTGGGAAGTGCCGTACGCACTTCCCTCGCCGGTACGCAATGTTTTGTGAATCGGAAAATGTCGGAACATTTCTGTACCTATTTTTTTGCTTTGTAGGCTACTACGTAAGCAACCTTCCCACGTCAATCCATATCGATACCGAACTTAGTGCGGACACCCGATCGGCATAGTCCGCTGCAGCTCAGGGGCCTCATTTATAACGCCTTGCGTAGGATTCACGTGGGAAGGTTGCTTACGTAGTACAAAGCAAAAAAATAGGTACAGAAATGTTCCGACATTTTCCGATTCACAAAACATTGCGTACCGGCGAGGGAAGTGCGTACGGCACTTCCTACGCCTGTTTCCCCTTTATAAATCACAATCGACTCGTAACGCCCATATTTGCCTATAAATAGTCA